ATGGTGTCAAATTTGCATATGAATTCCAGCTCAGCACTTTCACAGCTAGACATTGGAAGGCAGGTCAATTCTCACTTACAGACAGCCCCCGAACCTAGCACACACCAGCAACCATGCACCCCATCACAGAAACACTCACCCAGGAACCAATCCCTACAACAAACCCTGTTGCCAGCTCTGTCTACACATCCACCCTAGTGACACAATCCCAAGGCCTACCTACATCAGCGATACTACCTAAGGCTCATTCATCTGCACATCTTCTAATGTGATCTAAGCCAACATGTGCCAGCAATGCCCCTCTGCCATGCGTATTGGACGAGACTATATGCAGCCGAATAAATGGATGCAAATCAGACCTCAAAATGGTAACATACAAAAACTAGCATGAGAACATTTCTTTCTTTCTTTGCTACGGACTTGCAAGCAGACAAAGTGCCTTTTGACACTAATGGTGTATCTAGACTGCAGGTTTGTTTGGTTTTTTTTAAGTAGCCTTTTTTTGAAAAAACTTCACCTGCGTCTAGACTGCAGCCACGATCTTTTGAAAGTAAATCGAAAGAATGCGGCAGTTTTTTTGATCATGGTAAACCTAATTTTATGTGGAATATGCCTGTTTTTGAAAGTACGCTTTCGAAAAAAGGTGCTATTGAATGCAAATTGTGCTTTTTTGAAAGAGAACGTCTAGAAAAAGCGGCTTGCTTTTTTGAAAAATCTGCTTGTAGTCTAGATGCTTTCTTTTGAAAGAGGCTTGTAGTCTAGATGTAGCCTAAGATAGAGCCTTTGGCATGAATATGTTAGATGATTATTGTGATATGGGGCATATTAGATGAGCCAGATTAATATTTTTGTTCTGCAACTCCTGGACGTACAATTACAGACTTGAAAGCTGCAATCCTCAAGCAAAAAAAAAAAAAAAAAAAACCTCAAAAATTGGCAGCAACTTGAAACTGCTGGGCTGAAATTCATATGCAAATTTGATTCCATCAAAATGGGTCTGAATTCGAATTGGGAATGGCTGACTCATTATCATAAATAATTTTCCACTTTAGATATTCTTACATTCTTACCCACATCCACCCTGATTGACTTAGCTCTGATGTAACACTCCCATCTCTGTATCTCTACTGTTTCCTTTGTCTTTCACTCCATCCATCTGATGAAGTGAGTGTAGCTCATGAAAGCTTATGGCAAAATAGAATTGTTAGTCTTTAAAATGCCATCAGATTCCCAAATGTCTCTGAAACATATCATCTTTCTTTCTTTCTTTCTTTCTTTCTTTCTTTCTTTCTTTCTTTCTTTCTTTCTTTCTTTCTTTCTTTCTTTCTTTCTTTCGACACATCAAATTTCAAAATCAACTATTTCAAAATAGATTTGAAATACAATATGCAATTTGTGTAGCACATCTTATTTTGAGTTTAGAGTGCTGTGTAGACGCACCAAAAGATAGAGCCTTTGGCAGGGGAATGGGTCAGACAATTATTGTGATATGGAGCAAATTAGATGAACCAAGTGAATATATTTTCTTTCTGCAACTCCATATGGATGCAATTTCCACCTTTAAAGACCCAGAGCTTATATAGGAAGGGGAAGGTTTTTGTAGCTCTGAGATCAGGTTGCTTTGTATACATTCTACTTAATGTCCAAAACAAACCACAACTCTACTCCTTTCCTAAGGGATTGTTAATGGATTCTTTGCCTGCATTTGAGCTTTCTGCAGATGTGACAACTCTCGATATCCATCTTCTTCAGCATTAATAAAGTGAGCATTTTAGAAGTGGTCTTTGTTCCTCAATGTGCTTTACATAGAAAACTTATTTCCTTTTTACCTGTGTTGAGACTAGATGGCCTTTCCATAAACAGTTCTCATACGGATTGACTTTTCTTGACAAAGACCAAGATTGCATCGAAGGTTGTGTCTATACTGCCATTTGCAGCATTAAAACTTTAGTTGTTCAGGGTGGGGAAAAGCACATCGCTGAGCAATAAAAGTTTTAGCACTGAAAACTGCCAATATAGGCAGCATTTTATCAATGGGAGTTGTGCTCTTCAGTGGTAACCCCACGTTTGGGGTGTTTTTGAGAGAGCTCTCCCTTGGTGATGAAGAGTGACTACACTGTCCATTGTGCTACAGTGTGGGCAGTGTAGGTATACCTTTACTTTCACTCAGAGCCTTTTATTTTTTTGCAGCCTGTTAGCATATAGAACTTTGCTTTTGCTGCAGTCCAGCCAGCATTAGTGTTAATGATAACTTTTACTGATAGTTTAAAAGCCATCTCAAGGGAAGCAGTTGTTCCTGATGCTATAATGTAGACAGCATAATCTTATCTGTTCTGTTTGGGTAAAATTCACGTCTTAGCAGAGGACAGGCACAATCCATGTAAGTCCCTCTTCAGAGGTATGTAAGTCTTCATGAGCCAAGGCCATGGGTGAATTTTACTCCTACTTAAGTGTGTTTCTTATGACTAATTTTAACTCTCAGGTGACAGAAATCTCGACTTTCTTTTCTGTCCCCACTTATTCTGTCAATCAAGTGATTTCACTCAGTTGGGAGTTACTTTAGCGATAGTCTATAAAGAGTACAGAGTGCTCGTTCCATGACCCTTCTCACACAAATGAATTACCATTTTATCTTTAAAAAATTAAGTGACTTGAAAATATGCAGTGTAAGTTGCTGCTTTGTTTTGTTCAGCCAGTGATTGTCTGAACCAGTTTTATAGAGAAATAAAAGGGAGAGATTTTTTTTACATTTGATAAAAGTATTGAAAATATGGCACCCTTTTGATTTATCTATCTGCTTTGGAATCTTAGCTG